TTGCGATGGATGAGAGTAGTGGTGGATGACTGTTGTGGTGGATGAGTATTGTGGTGGATGACAGTTTTGGGTGAACTGGACATAAACAAGAAATAAGAGAAATGCGGAACTGTGAAGGTTGTGAGGCGCTGCGGGCCGGGCTCCTCACTAAAATAAATAAGTCTAAATAAAGGAATAACCTTGCTGTGAAGGAGTTAATTTTGTGCTATATGCAGGCTACTCGAGGCGTGTGGTGCTTGTGTGGTCACTGCCTGTGTCACCCCTCTGTTGCTTGTGGTGCTTGTGTGGTCACTGCCTGTGCCGCCCCCTCTGTTGCTTGTGGTGCTTGTGTGGTCACTGCCTGTGCCGCCCCCTCTGTTGCTTGTGTGGTCACTGCCTGTGCCGCCCCCTCTGTTGCTTGTGGTGCTTGTGTGGTCACTGCCTGTGCCGCCCCCTCTGTTGCTTGTGGTGCTTGTGTGGTCACTGCCTGTGCCGCCCCCTCTGTTGCTTGTGGTGCTTGTGTGGTCACTGTCTGTGCCGTCCCCTCTGTTGCTTGTGGTGCTTGTGTGGTCACTGCCTGTGCCGCCCCCTCTGTTGCTTGTGGTGCTTGTGTGGTCACTGCTGTGCCGCCCCCTCTGTTGCTTGTGGTGCTTGTGTGGTCACTGTCCCTCTGTTGCTTGTGGTGCTTGTGTGGTCACTGCCTGTGCCGCCCCCTCTGTTGCTTGTGGTGCTTGTGTGGTCACTGTCTGTGTCACCCCCTCTGTTGCGTGTGGTGCTTGTGTGGTCACTGCCTGTGTCACCCCCTCTGTTGCTTGTGGTGCTTGTGTGGTCACTGCCTGTGTCACCCCCTCTGTTGCTTGTGGTGCTTGTGTGGTCACTGCCTGTGTCGCTCCTCTGTTGCTTGTGGTGCTTGTGTAGTCACTGCCTGTGTCGCCCCTCTGTTGCTTGTGGTGCTTGTGTGGTCACTGCCTGTGTCGCCCCCTCTGTTGCTTGTGGTGCTTGTGTGGTCACTGTCTGTGTCACCCCCTCTGTTGCTTGTGGTGCTTGTGTGGTCACTGCCTGTGCCGCCCCCTCTGTTGCTTGTGTGCTTGTGTGGTCATGGTGCTTGTGTGGTCACTGCCTGTGTCACCCCCTCTGTTGCTTGTTGGTGCTTGTGTGGTCACTGCCTGTGTCACCCCCTCTGTTGCTTGTGGTGCTTGTGTGGTCACTGCCTGTGCCGCCCCCTCTGTTGCTTGTGGTGCTTGTGTGGTCACTGCCTGTGTCACCCCCTCTGTTGCTTGTGGTGCTTGTGTGGTCACTGCCTGTGCCGCCCCCTCTGTTGCTTGTGGTGCTTGTGTGGTCACTGCCTGTGCCGCCCCCTCTGTTGCTTGTGGTGCTTGTGTGGTCACTGCCTGTGCCGCCCCCTCTGTTGCTTGTGGTGCTTGTGTGGTCACTGCCTGTGCCGCCCCCTCTGTTGCTTGTGGTGCTTGTGTGGTCACTGCCTGTGCCGCCCCCTCTGTTGCTTGTGGTGCTTGTGTGGTCACTGCCTGTGCCGCCCCCTCTGTTGCTTGTGGTGCTTGTGTGGTCACTGCCTGTGCCGCCCCCTCTGTTGCTTGTTGGTGCTTGTGTGGTCACTGCCTGTGCCGCCCCCTCTGTTGCTTGTGGTGCTTGTGTGGTCACTGCCTGTGCCGCCCCCTCTGTTGCTTGTGGTGCTTGTGTGGTCACTGCCTGTGCCGCCCCCTCTGTTGCTTGTTGGTGCTTGTGTGGTCACTGCCTGTGTCGCTCCTCTGTTGCTTGTGGTGCTTGTGTAGTCACTGCCTGCGTCGCTCCTCTGTTGCTTGTGGTGCTTGTGTTGGTGCTTGTGTAGTCACTGCCTACGTCGTCCCCTCTGTTGCTTGTGGTGCTTGTGTAGTCACTGCCTGCGTCGTCTCCTCTGTTGCTTGTGGTGCTTGAAGTACCTGGAATTTATCACCATTAAACATCATGTTATTTTCTGCTGCCCAATCGAAAACTTTGTTAATATCTGTTTGTAGTTTATCAATGTCTTCAGCAGAGGTAATTTTCATGCTGATTTTTGTATCATCTGCAAAGGATGACACGAAGCTGTGACTTGTTTTTTTGTCTATATCTGATATGAGCATAAGGAACAGCAGTGGTGCAAGGACTGTACCTTGAGGTACACAGCTTTTAACTGCGCTTGGACTCGATTTTACTTGATTGACTGTTACTCTTTGTGTTCTGTTCGACAGGAAATTGAGTATCCAGCGTCATACTTTACCAGTTATACCCATTGACCTCATTTTGTGTGCAATCACTCCATGGTCACATTTGTCGAATGCCTTTGCAAAATCTGTGTATACGACATCTGCATTATGTTTTTCCTCTAATGCCTCAGTGATTTTGTCACAGTAGTCAAGTAGCTGTGAGAGGCATAATATCAATATTATATTTAATCAACAAGCTCAGAGTGTGAATGCTTTGTGAGAAACAAGATTCATCTTACGTTAGGCAAGGAAGACGTGAGCAAAGGTATGAAACGCTCCAAGTATAAACGTTATGTTAACTAACTATCCTTTTCACAAGATTATTTGCAACTCAGTTTGACCTCTGGTTTCCACTAAGAACCCAGGGTCGTAACAAGAATGTAAATTATCAGTGCTTTGTACTCTCATAAACCCAATGTACCTTCTTGTATATAAATAAATAAATATATAGTCATGATGGCTTGGTGCTTTCCCCTGATAACTAACACTACCTTCTCCTGTTTGCCAAATAGACCACCATTTAGCTGGTCACCTCACGGTGTTCCTGGTGATGCCTGATCTTTACACTTGGGAAGAGAGATTAATTGTAATTAGTTGTGCTAAGATTAATTTAGAACGTCCTGGAAAGTGGAATTCCTTAGGGATCACTTTTTTTTTTTTTTTTTTTTTTTTTTTTTTTTTTTTTTTTTTTTTTTTGAGATATATACAAGAGTTGTTACATTCTTGTACAGCCACTAGTACGCGTAGCGTTTCGGGCAAGTCCTTAATCCTACGGTCCCTGGAATACGATCCCCTGCCGCGAAGAATCGTTTTTTCATCCAAGTACACATTTTACTGTTGCGTTAAACAGAGGCTACAGTTAAGGAATTGCGCCCATTAAATCCTCCCCGGCCAGGATACGAACCCATGACATAGCGCTCGCGGAACGCCAGGCGAGTGTCTTACCACTACACCACGGAGACTTATGTGGCATTAACAGGCATTGAGAATTTGGAACAATTATATAACTCATAATTACTACAGCTTTATTATTTCAATAAGGTTCTTTAGTCACAAGGTCCAGGGGCCAGATTCACGAAGCACTTACGCAAGCACTTACGAACGTGTACATCTTTCCTCAATCTTTGACGGCTTTGGTTACATTTATTAAACAGTTTACAAGCATGAAAACTTGCCATTCAACTGTTGTTGTTGTTATAAACAGCCTCCTGGTGCTTCGGAGCTCATTAACTGTTTAATAATTGTAAACAAAGCCGCCAAAGATTGAGAAAAGATGTACAGGTTCGTAAGTGCTTGCGTAAGTGCTTTCGTGAATCTGACCCCAGGTTACGAAGACCAAATTCACATTTTTGGGGGGGAGGGGAGGGGGCGATATAGAGGAAATTATTATTTTAAATTGTTTGTTATGGGCCCCGAACCCATGCTGTGGTGTGTGGCATTGTGGGCCCCCAACCCATGCTGTGGTGTGTGGCATTGTGGGCCCCCAACCCATGCTGTGGTGTGTGGCATTGTGGGCCCCGAACCCATGCTGTGGTGTGTGGCATTGTGGGCCCCCAACCCATGCTGTGGTGTGTGGCATTGTGGGCCCCCAACCCATGCTGTGGTGTGTGGCATTGTGGGCCCCCAACCCATGCTGTGGTGTGTGGCATTGTGGGCCCCGAACCAATGCTATGGTGTGTGGCATTGTGGGCCCCCAACCCATGCTGTGGTGTGTGGCATTGTGGGCCCCGAACCCATGCTGTGGTGTGTGGCATTGTGGGCCCCCAACCCATGCTGTGGTGTGTGGCATTGTGGGCCCCCAACCCATGCTGTGGTGTGTGGCATTGTGGGCCCCGAACCCATGCTGTGGTGTGTGGCATTGTGGGCCCCCAACCCATGCTGTGGTGTGTGGTATTGTGGGCCCCCCAACCTATGCTGTGGTGTGTGGCATTGTGGGCCCCCAACTCATGCTATGGTGTGTAGCATTATGGGCTCCCAACCCATGCTGTGGTGTGTGGCATTGTGGGCCCCGAACCCATGCTGTGGTGTGTGGCATTGTGGGCCCCCAACCCATGCTGTGGTGTGTGGCATTGTGGGCCCCCAACCCATGCTGTGGTGTGTGGTATTGTGGGCCCCCAACCTATGCTGTGGTGTGTGGCATTGTGGGCCCCCAACTCATGCTATGGTGTGTAGCATTATGGGCTCCCAACCCATGCTGTGGTGTGTGGCATTGTGGGCCCCCAACCCATGCTATGGTGTGTGGCATTGTGGGCCCCCAATCCATGCTGTGGTGTGTGGCATTGTGGGCCCCCAACCCATGCTGTGGTGTGTGGCATTGTGGGCCCCCAACTCATGCTATGGTGTGTGGCATTATGGGCTCCCAACCCATGCTGTGGTGTGTGGCATTAAAGTTGCAATCACATAATAAGTTCGACCCATATCTTCGTTAAGCTGAACAATTCAATTTACACTTGTGTTGAGCTAGTTACAGTGTTGATGTATGTGGTGGAGGCCAGAGGGGCCATCAGTGTGCTGGGGCGGGAGGGTGCCTTGTGTAGTCACTGGTAGAGCTCAGCAAGTGCTGCCACTCCACTGTACACAACCTTCACATATTTCACTAACACTAATATATAATTATGGAGGAAATACTTGGATTTGTTCACATGCTATACCATGGAACTGGTTATGAAAGGTGCGCGGCAAGTTTTTCTGGTACAATTTTGCTACATTGTGTGAGCGCCTGAATGTTTACATGTGGTGAAGACAGAGACGATGACCATTATGTGTATTGATGTACAGAGCTGCTCGATGGAGGTGACGGCAGAGAGCGTGGCGGTGATGGCGGCCACGCTGGCCAACGGGGGCATCTGCCCCACCACTGGGGAGGAGGTCCTCAAGCCCTACGCTGTACGCGACGTCCTCTCCCTCATGCACTCCTGCGGCATGTACGACTACTCCGGCCAGTTTGCCTTCAAGGTGAGCTACCACTTGTACAATATACCTCTAGCATTGTGGGTGGGTATCCCAGTGTGGGACACACGTGACATTACACACCAAACCTTCACACCTAGTAACTCGCAAATGTTTTCCGCACGTGCTTATATTTATATAAATATGTCTCTGGGGCGTTTAGCAGTTATGCAAATATACGAACTGCATCTTATAAGTGTGGATCTTTATCTTGTATATATAAGTACATTTCTTGTCCTGAGGTCAATATTCACAGTCTCTGGCTGTATAATGGTCTGGCGGTCAAGTGTGTTTAAACCTATGTTGTGTTGACAGGTGGGGCTGCCGGCCAAATCGGGTGTGTGTGGAGCCATCATGCTGGTCATCCCCAACGTCATGGGGATCTGCACGTGGTCGCCACCGCTTGACCTTCTTGGCAACTCCGTCAGAGGACTCAAGTTTTGTGAGGTAAGCTTCGGGGGATTGGTCTCTGGTCACACATCTTGATTCATGTCCCACCGTATAGCTTCAAGAAGGAACCTGTTCTCAGGTTCAGGTTATCTGGCTGCTGCATGTGTGGGCTGGGTCTTGAGTCAGGTTTATTCCTGCTGCAGGTGTGGGCTGGGTCTAGACAGGTTTATTCTTCTGCAGGTGTGGGCTGGGTCTTGAGACAGGTTTATTCCTGCTGCATGTGTGGGCTGGGTCTTGAGACAGATTTATTCCTGCTGCAGGTGTGGGCTGGGTCTTGAGACAGGTTTATTCCTGTTGCAGGTGTGGGCTGGGTCTTGAGACAGATTTATTCCTGCTGCAGGTGTGGGCTGGGTCTTGAGACAGATTTATTCCTGCTGCAGGTGTGGGCTAGGTATTGAGACAGGTTTATTCAGGTATAAACCCACACAAAGTGATAAAGTATCTCAAGCTGACCTCACCCCGTTCAGGACATGTTCATATATTTACACACACACACCAGCCCCTCCATGGTGTTGCCTTGTCGTGGTGAGGGGGCTCACTTACACCTCGGTGGGACCGGTAAGGGTTGCCTTTGCCCCCTCTCATGCCCCTCTTTGGGCGTTGAACATGCGAAAGGGCACCAATGTAGGAGCCTTGTGAGTCAACAAACCACCCGCTGGAAAGGCTGCCCTAAGTGGATGGTACCTGAGAGTTAGACAGCTGCTACTGGCTGCATCCTGGGGGTGTGTAACAAAAAAAAAGGAGGCCTGGTCGAGAACCGGGCCGCGGGGACGCTAAGCCCCGAAATCGCTCTCAAGATAACCTCAAGATGGCTGGGTGTCCAGGCTGGGGCGAAAGGCAGAATGGGGTCTTTGAACCAGTATGGGAGAATGGATGAGGCAATAGGACTCCCCTGTTAAAAAGGAGGAGCACTGCTGGGGACGACGCACCCCTTCCTGCACTGGCCCGCACTAAGCGGATACCTGGCTGCACTAGTAGTGCAGCCAGGTATCCCTTGGCTCCAGTCTCTAGACTTTTAGAATTGATGCTGTATGGAAACTGAACTGACCTCTCTTACAAAGGCTCGTGGGGTGGGCGCGCTCTGTAGCCCCCCTTTACATTGGACCCCAGACCAAGCTGCTTCAGTGACCCTCCCAACTACCCCTCTCTGCTCCCCTCCCACCTCTGTGGCAGGGTTGAGCCCCAAGCCCCCAGTATTGACAACCTCACCTGACATGGCTCCATCTCTCATTGTGACCACTGCACCTTTTACTCCCCCTCCCATCTTACTGGAGGTGCTCAATGCCGTCAATGCAAGGATATTAGATACCATCAACTTAGATAGAAGGAAGTGAGATCCCCAGATGTTAGATCACTGGATGTTAGATCCCATAATGTTAGATCCAAGGATGTTAGATCCCATAATGTTAGATCCAAGGATGTTAGATCCCATAATGTTAGATCCAAGGATGTTAGATCCCATAATGTTAGATCCAAGGATGTTAGATCCCATAATGTTAGATCCAAGGATGTTAGATCCCATAATGTTAGATCCAAGGATGTTAGATCCCATAATGTTAGATCCCATAATGTTAGATCCAAGGATGTTAGATCGCATCATGTTAGATCCCATCATGTTAGATCCAAGTATGTTAGATCCCCAGTTGTTAGATCCCTGGATGTTATATCCTTGGATGTTAGATCCCTGGATGTTAGATCCCATTATGTTAGACCTCAAGATGTTAAATACCATGATAAATAACATCCCAGTAGTTACATCCCAGTATGTTACATCCCATGATGTTAGATCCTGGATGCAACATCCTAGGGTGTTAGATTCCATGATGCTAGATTGCAGGATGTTGGTGGAATGAGTAGTATCAAGTGCAGATTTTCAGTGTTGAATCTACAGTATTTACATACTAGGTTTGTTTATCTCGAGTTATTATAGGATCAGTGTTGAGGAGTATCTATCTGCGTGTTATTTATTGCCTGCATTAATCCATTAATATTTTGGCAGCAACATATTTGGTATTTTGTGCAATTCAAAACCAAGTATTAGCAAGAAAAATATTGGTACCTGTATTGATATCTCGATCTTATGAAACATTTATGCTAAATGTATGTGTTGTTGATACAGGAGCTGGTGCAAGTATTTAACTTTCACCGGTATGACAACCTTCGCCATGCTGCCAACAAGAAGGATCCACGTAAACAAAAGTTTGAGTCCCGTGGCCAGAAAGTTGTGTCCCTTCTTTTCTCTGCATGCTCTGGTGATGTCACTGCAATGAGGAGGTTAGTGCTATCATATCTAAAAATTTCAAAGCAGGGTAGGCCCCACTATCTTGGAAACATAGACAAGCTAAATTGAATTTCTCATTACAGTACTGTACTTGTAATAGATACTGTACTTATCTAAATACTATGCTTTTTAGTAACTTTGCAAGATTATATCAATTATTTTCCAAAATCTGTACAAACACAACCCATTGTATCTTCTTATATACAGTACTAGTACCAGGTATATATAAATATTTCAAGGCGTCACTTGAACTTACATTAATAACCAAATGACAAGTCAAAGTACTCAAGCATTCATGACAATTACTGTCCCTATACAGGTATTGCTATTAAATGTGGTTGAAACAGTGGCAATGTTCAGACCATTGAGTTTTCCTCACAAGCAGTGCACCCACTCTAATGTTCACATATTACAAACATTAATACAAATTTTAAATTGCAGTACATCATCTGCACTATAGTACATGCAGTACTGTGTATTTGAATATTGAGGTGCATACATATACTGTATATTACTTCATCTTCACATAAATACCGTACATATTTTCATCCATTTATTTTATATTCAACAAGGATAATGCTAAAGCCAACAGTTTAGACAACAATTGGCCCACAGGTATGCTCTAGCAGGACTTAACATGGCCGAGAGTGATTATGATGGAAGGACCGCTCTTCACCTTGCGGCTGCCGAGGGTCATATGGACACTGTAATCTTCCTTCTAGAGAAGTGTCGTGTGCCACCTGCCCCAAAAGATAGGTTAGTATCTGAGAGAGATGGCAGTAATAACAGGTCTGTTCAGTGCACAAAATAGAAAACTGTATAACAGTTATCACGAGTAAATATTTTTCTCATATTGTTGCTGTTGCAGTAAGCACATGTAGTACTTTCAGATTGATACAAGGACAAATAAATGCTTTTACATCATCTTCCCAGAATTCATCATGGGTTTTTCCAGGAGCAACAAAATCTTTTGTTTTGCCATTTTTGGTTATGCATAAATTTCTAAGTATTTACACTGTTCATGAGACAGAAAATGCACTCACATAATATCAGCAGACTGCATTCATAAGTACTGTACTGTATGTATACAGTGGAACCTTGGTGTATGATTGCACCTGAATACAAATTTTCTGGTGTACAACGAAAATTTTGTAGGATAATATGTCCTGGTATATGATGTTCACTCCAGAGTACAAACCACTCGTTCATACTTGTCTGAGTCGATAAGATCAGTTTATGCTTGTATTCCGTCTAGTGACACTGGACCCTCCCTGCTACCTCCATCCAACCACTGGACCCTCCCTGCTACCTCCATCCTGCCACTGGACCCTCCCTGCTACCTCCATCCAACCACTGGACCCTCCCTGCTACCTCCATCCCGCCACAGGACCCTCCCTGCTACCTCCATCCCCCACACTGCTCCCCCCCTCCCCTCCCCAGCTGTACCCTCCCAGCCACATCTAGATCTTATTAATACAGAACGCTGCTTTGCTACCAACTGGTGGATCAGAGGCAGACTGCCTGATATTAAACTCTTGTTGTTTACTGACTGTGAAAGCCTGAGTGACTGTAAATGCCTAACCGGTTGCTACATCAACTGTGAATGCTTGAAATGCATGACTGACTTGTGACTAAGTGACTGGTTCTGACTGGCTGCCACATAACAGAGGCAGTGAAATGTTTGAAAGGAAAATTTGGAACCAGTGATGATATGATTAATGCACTTTAGGCAAGCGGGGATCAGTCTCGCCTCTCTCCTCCTCACCCTCTCCCATACGCCAACAAGATTCTTCAGTAAAGGTGAAGTGCAGTTAAATGTTCACTTAGTGTATTTATGGTTTATATTTGTACCTGATTCTTTTGTGTATGAAAAATGAGTAGTATTCTGTATAAAATGTATTTTTAAGTTAATAATTTTGGGCGTGTGGAATGGATTAATTAAATTTACATTATTTCTTATGGGAAAATTAATTTTGAATGACGACATGTCTCTGGGAATGGATTACGATTGTAAACAAAGGTACCAATGAACTTACTGAGCACCTAGAGCTCTCCCTAGGCGCATGCTACTCTGCATACAATAACACACCTATCCACCACTCCCCACACACAGCTGGTACAGCAACACAGGGCAAAATCCAGAACAGGAACTTAAGGCTAGAGGTGACCAAGTTGATCCCAGCACATCAGTTCAAGAACTGGAGCAGTGGGCTGCCAGCTCCCCCTTCCCCTCTTCTGGGGGGGGGGGGGGGGCAGTGTGTGGGTTCGAAGCCTCCTCATGGTTCCTGCTGATGTTCTCAATAATTACATTCTTAGAGATTTCTATTTGCTAGTAAATTAAGAAATCTATAGTCTAGTATTTCACAAGGGTTCAGGTCACTAATAGCACTCTTGTATTTAGATGGGGCCACACTCCTGCTGACGATGCGGAACAGTTTGGACACGAGCGCGTTGCAGCAGTCATAAGAGAGTATGAGGAAAAGCTAGAAGCAGCCAAGAAGAAGGATGTTATCCATGAATCAGAAGAGGAAGCCCAAATCGAACAGTAAAGAAAAAAACAATAATGTTACCATTTACAAATAGCAGTTGTATGAGGCATTTAAAATTCTGTATATAAAAGGATCTTCAAACTAAATTCTATGTTCATTTCTATTGATGACAAATTCTTTAGCATCCAACGTATAAATCTTGTATATATTTGGCTATGAAATCATTCAAATGCAGCAATAATTATCCATCAAAAACTTAAATCATGTTAGAGTTAGATTTTATTACTGTAATTTCCTAAATTGTTAGTGAATATAGAGCATTCTCTCTTTAAATTGAACTTTTCTAAGTCAAACAATGTAAACTGAATATTAAAAAAAGGCTTGATTTACTCTTGAATACTGTAATGTATACATAATTCAACCACTGTTCTTCCATAATAATAATAGATTAGATGATGATGACTAGAAAAAGGATGATAATGATTTTTAATGTCAAATAGGAGAGATGTGCAAACATGCATTGTACACACATGCACATGTAGTGTATTTACAGGTTTGCATTAACTATATTGCATTAAAATCTTATATATTTATTATTATATATATTTATAATGAAGTAGCTGAGAGATTTGTTTCATATTGGTGGAGAATTAAGACGTGTGTGCTGGGAAGCAGGAAGAGTTGAGTGACTTCCGGGTCACTCCAGTCATGTTGGTTTTGTGTAGTCTTATCTTTGTAAGGAAATTAATACAGAATTAACATTTTTGACACTGTTTACTCTTCATGTAATGAACTATAACTCTATGGAGCTGTACCCGATTCATTACAGATTCTGGTCATCATTTTCTTAACGCAAATTATAGTACAGTACGTATGTGCATTTGTGGATTTATAGTATTGGTTGCACTAAAATACAAATTACAGTTTCAGTAAAAATAGTGTAATCTCTAAGGAACAGCACATATGGTACCAGGCTCTGTGCTAGGATAACTGTACCATTTATCCGATCATTGTACTATACCATGATATAGGTACTATGGCATTACACCAGGGTACTTATCCTGGCATTGTACTAAGATAGTTTTGACATTGTACTAGGGTACAATTATACAGGTATTATAAGTGTACAATGTGTTAAAAATGGATGATGTTAAAAATGTTCTAAACAACTTTTTTGAGCATGTCTTTCTTTCACTTTCTGATCTATATCATGGTAGCCAAAAAAATTTGTCTTCAGATTTTGTGACTGTATAATTATACATGTCAAAAAGTGATTGGTGGAAGACAGAGAAATGTTTTGGTCTCAACTGATTTTACCCCAGAAATATGTACATTGAAACTTTATAGCAACCTCTCTTAAGTCAACCTGTTTGGTATCAAAATAATGATTTTTCCAGCTTAGATACCTGTACCCTGGTACAATATCAGTATAAATGAACCTAGTACAATGTCAATAACCTTGCTAAATTACTAGGATAATTGTATCTTGGTACAATGTCAAAATAACTACAGTACTTTGCTACAATACCAGGATAATTGTACCCTGGTACAGTGTCAGAATAACTGTACCCTAGTGCAATACCAGGATAACTGCACCCTGGTACAATGCCAGGATAACTGAACCCCAGTACAATACCAGGATAATTGTACCCTAATACTGTATGTCAATTATACCCTGGTACAATGCCAGGATAACTGTACACTCATAGTAGTACTCATAGTACAGAATTTGAGTTGTGTGTTGTTGTGTGTAATAGTTCCCGGAAAACTCAAGTCCTCCTCTGAGAGGTTCTGCAGAGCCCTCAGAGAGGCAACCAGGCTGCTGCAAGAGTAGTACCAGGGGCAGCCCTTCAGGTCCTTGTCCTTGAGCTCGTGCCTCTGGCACCTTACAACCAGCTGCTTCAGGTAGATGGGACTCGACAGCCTGGGAAGGCAACTTATCTAGGGGGAAGGAAAACCCTGATCTCGAACCTCTGCTGCCTCACAGCCATACCCACTTTTGCGATAGGCTTCAGGAGTCAACCTTGAGGAAAAATCCGAAGCTGGAGCCCCTACTAGAGTTCGTTGTTGACTTCAACCTCGTTCTGACAGCTCTTGTGACGGCACTGGAACCAAGCTTATGGGTGTTTGCCTTTCCACTGAACAATTTCAGCCTCGTGGAGATGGGGGGACCTGCTGCATGGGTAACAGCTTCTCCTCCATATCGACCTACTCTGGCTTTGCTCTACAACCAGTGTGCAACTCCCTAGTCTCCCAAAACTGCAGGATGCCTACTACTATGAGTGTACAGTTATCCTGGCATTGTACCAGGGTATAATTGACATACAGTATTAGGGTACAATTATCCTGGTATTGTACTGGGGTTCAGTTATCCTAGCATTGTACCAGGGTGCAGTTATCCTGGTATTGCACCAGGGTACAGTTATTCTGACACTGTACCAGGGTACAATTATCCTGGTATTGTAGTAAAGTAGTTATTTGGACATTGTACCAAGGAACAATTATCCTAGTATTTTAGCAAGGTTATTGACATTGTACTAGGTTCATATATACTGATATTGTACCAGGGTACAGGTATCTAAGCTGGAAAAATCATTATTTTGATACCAAACAGGTTGAAAAAACCCAGGGTTGAATGTAATGAAACGCCATTTTCTGGGTGATACCCGGAGGCTTCCCAGAGCTATACCGGGCTGATGTGTATATATTAGACCGTGGCAACAGTCAATCGAAGTAGTTCTAAGCCTACTGGGGACCAGAGCCAGAACCTGGCCCCCTCAAGAGGCACGATGAGCAATGGCTTAAAGACACCCCCGTGTAATTGGAAGCAGTCTTTGTCTGCCGTCTACCAGGTCAGGCACCCAGAAAGGTAGGAATCTCAAAACAAACTACTGCTGGTCAAAAATTGCAAACCGAAAGCCGAACTAGCAAACAGAACTCCCCAATCAAAAACAAGGAAACAAACATGACGTCACCACAACCGCCGCGCATCCGTCTGTGCAGCCCCCCCCCCAGGGAGGGGAGGGAAGGGCGGGGTCCCAGACCTCCATGCCGGCAACTCTCCTCAGTTCAGAAGCAGAGTATCAAAAATGCGAAAAACTGCCGACCAGAGGGAGGGAGGGATGCCGGGGAGCCTCCAGGTCTCACCCAGAAAATGGCATTTCATTCCATTCAACGCTGGTTTTCTGTGGAGAGCCCCTTTGGCTCCCCAGAGCTACCTAACCAAAGATAAGAAGAAAAAGGGACTCACCCGGGAGGCGGTCGTCACTCACTTCTCACCTCAAAGTCGAGACAACAGGCCGCAACCTGTGACCCAAGGCTATACACACCTGAGAAGGACTAGGAACATTAACAAGGTAACGTGCAGCCAGGACCCTGTTCGACCTCCAAATGCCCCGTGCCCAAAAGATAGGTCAGAACATTACCAAAACAGTAGCCGAATGCTGAACTTACGAACGGCGTGGGCACGGGAAAAGACCGCAGGCTGGCTGAACCGAATAGACCTGCGGACAACCTGGAAGACCCGCGCCCGGGAATAGGGAAGAAGGGAAAACTGGGTTAACCCAGAACCCATCCTCTGCCACAGAGACCATAACGCACAAATAACAGCAAAGAGCCACAGACACAAAACATGATGCACCCCTAGCCTAACCAATCAAGCATCAACAACCCAAGGACCCCTTCGGAAAGTAGCAAACTCATTCTTTGCCAGAAAAGGAGATCGCTGCAAACGAAGAAAAGACCACCAGGACTGAAAGAGCAGAAACCCCTGCGCCGGAGGAGAGCATGAAACTCTCCAACCCGACTCCGAGAGGCCAATGCCAACAAGAAAAGAGCCGTAGAAAAACAGTCCTGAACCGAGAAGGGCCACCCCAAACCGAGAAGAAGAGAGAAGAGAGCACCCGGTTCAACAACCAGGACAGCTCAGGCAGCGCATGAGCAGGCCGGAGGTGAAAACAACGCCCGAGAAAGCTTGCGGAACGGATCAGAAGTGACATCCACCCCAAATACAAGCTGCAGCAGCTCCGCCAGTGCCACCCGAAATGAGGCGACAGTATCTGGCGTAAGAAGACGGTCCTGAAACAACCAAGAGAGAAAGGACAAAACCGACAAGAAATCGCAGACAACCTACGAAGAGACAAGTGCCGAAAAGACCGCCAGGAAATTTCATACTGCCGTCGAGACGAAACTTCCAGGTGGGACACCAACTAAGCCACCTGATCACCATACAAGTGTGGTAGTTATAAGCTACGCTCGTGGTGTCCTGTCTCCCCAGCACTCTTTGTCATAAATGCTTTGAAATTACTGACCCTCCACCACCTTCTCACTTAACTTGAACCGTCTACCACTCTGCTGAGACGGTTGGAGTCTACCAGAGAGTAGATAAACCTCAGTGGTGATAAACCCGCCAGCCAGACGTGAGAAGCAGAGAAGATAACCCACCACGTGGAATGGTCCGATCTGCTGAAAGAGGCGGAGCCATGGGAAGACCCTCGAGTTCGGACATCGAGCAAGAAGCGCCTGAAACCAGGGCTGGGCCGGCCACTAAAGAGCCAACAGGACTACTCATCCCTGGTAAGTCTCTCTAAGCTAACCAGGACCCGGAGCAACAACCGAACCGGTGGGAAGAGGTACAGGTAACTCCAACTCGACCAGTCCAGCCGAAAGGCATCGACCCCGATGGCCTCGCAGTCTGGGAAGGGTGCCACATACACTGGAAGACCCCTCGACCAAGTCAATGCGAAGAGGTCCACCTCTAGGTGCCCGTACGTCCAGCAGAGCAAACTGAATGAGTCTGTATCGACCGTCCATTCCATGGATAGGGGAATGAACCGAGACAGGCCATCCGCCAGGAAGTTTGACACCCCTTGAAAGTGAACCCGCCAGGAGAGCCAAACCCTGAGAACACAGCAAACGAGTCACCTGAAGTGACCAGCCCCAAAGAGCCAAGGACCGCATCAAACCCCGGCGGTTCAGACAATGAACCACCGGGGAGCAGTCGGAATGGAGCCGGATCATTGCTCCACAAGCAACACGAACCCTCTGAAGCGAATGCCACACCAGTGCAAACTCCTGCGCCGTGCTGTGAGGACGGACCCCACTGACTCTGGCCAGCCTGGTGAGCACTGGTCACAAAACCCCAGCTGAGAGATGAGGCATCCGTGAACACATCGAGCGAGGGCTCGGGGAGGTGTCAGGGCATAGAACCCCGAAAAACCCTCAGAGGAAGCCGGCAACGCAGCAGCAGACGCAAGGTTCCCGGGATCCAAACACAGCGATCACGAGAGCGGCGGAAGGGACGCCCCCCCTTCCCCCCCGAAGAAACCAGAACATCTGCCGAAGCCAGATCCGCCCTGACGGGTAGACCAGCATGGCTAAGATCAGGCTCCCGCATCGCCGCCCAAACAACCGACGTGTGACCCAGGTGCCCTCCAAAAACAGTCGTAAGCGGGACCGCAGCCGCAACAACGCCACCAGAGAGGAGAGAGAAGAGAGAGCGGTCCAGAGAGTCTCGGAGTCCTACACAAGACCCAGCCCAGTCCGAACCCGAGAGGGAACCAAATGGGACTTCTTCCAGTACACCAAGAACCCGAACCTGGTGAGCTGGAAAGGAACCAAATCCCTGGTGGCGAGTAGGAACAAATCCCTGCAGACATGTGGATTGGCTGGGAGCCCACACCAGCCAATCGTCGAGGTAAGCCAGAACTCAAACGGGTCACCACGACCCGGTTAAGGCATGTGGACATGTGAGGTGCCAGATCCAAACTGAGAAGGAAGGCAACGAAAGCGGTAAATCCGTCACTCCACGAGAAAACTGAGCCAGTCCCTGAACACCAGATGAATTGGGACGTGCTAATATGTGTCCTAGAGGTCCAGAGACACCATCCAGGCACCCGGCACCAAAAGCAGCCGGACCCAAGACAGAGTGGTCATCTGAAGGAGGGGCAAAAGACCCAGGGGATCAGACGGGACAAGTCCAGTATGAATCGCAGATCTGCCCAGTCCCGTTTCAGAACTGAAAACAGGCAGGAAACCCACTCCAGGATGACCTGACAAGAGCGCAGGGGAAGAGGCCTGCCCCGCAGGCCCCAATTCCCCCGAAGGAAGAAGGCCCAGAAGCAACAAACCGCAGGCCAGAGGAAAATGATCCGAATTGCCCCACGAATCGAGGGACCAGGTGAGAACAAACAGCGCGAGCCAACCCCCTATCGCCTCTCCAACAGGGCCCCCAGGAAAACCCGAACGACCCTATGAGACTCTGCCATTCAAGTGCATAGTCGATCAGGACGAATGCCAAGCCCCCCCGCATGAAGCGTCAGTCCCAGCCAGGATCCGGCACTACTGGCTTACGACGAGCCAAACTCAAAGCAGAGGCTTCATTATCGAGGCTAATCCGGGTCTCGCAGGAGGTAAGCCAAGGGCCTCCCACACCTTCCTCGGTGGGATGCAAGCCAAAACCTCGCAGGGAACGTTGGGAACTCGCCGAACCTAAGGACCTCATAACAAAAACTACAGAGAGGGGGATAGGAAATCCTGCACCCGGAGCAACAAGCCCCGGCTGAGGGTAAAGACCCAAGCACAAGTGGGGCCCATGCGTCAACTCCTCCCCAGCCCCGGAATCCTCCACGTCAGGACCGGGCCACCGTCCTCCAAACCCTCTGCCTGGAGAAAAAGCAGAGACCCTGGCATGCCCCAAAAGCTCTAGCAGGAGGACCAGGCTCGAATGCCTCAGTCAGCTGTCCGGAAGGGGCAGCTCCCTAAGCTGCCCGAGTCTCACTACCAGTATAATTCAGTGGGCAGCTGCGGGGCATCACGAAAGCAACCAAATCACGTTGCTGCAACCTAAACCTCGCATGCAACGCTAAAGCTGCCTGCACCCTAATATCAGTCTCAGTGGACTGGGTGAATGGAGTACAAGCAAAGAACACCACTCGCAGGACTCCGGGTCAAAGGTGTCACTGACCCCAACAGGCAGCAAGGCAGAGGCAGACAGTGAGTGTCACCCTGAAACAAGGGGACAGAACAACCTTCAAACTCGCAGAAGGCGAGGTGGGACTCGGAGGTCTCCTACATCGGACAACTGAGCCCCAAAGGGGGTTTCCAGGGCCCTTAGGCTAACTACTAAGGGAAGCCCAGGCGAGGTACTGCTAACCGGTTATCCCAGAGCTACCAAGCAAACAACTAAAAGCTGAACCCCTGTGACATGTGCAAGCATGGGGACCTAGTGGAGGGCCACCAAAATCCTACAAGTGGTCCTACCGCCACACCAGGCAGACCCCCACCAGGCAAAACTAAACAAAAACAAAAGAAAATCCCCGCAAAAGCATAATGTTTCCAGGTGAACAGAACCAG